TCTAGAACAAATTAAATAGATTTCTTTTAGGAACTAATATCTTAGGATATAATATATAGTTTGGGACGCAACGTGTCATGAGACTCCCAGGAAGTTGGAAGGTGAACTGGAGGACCTTGGTCTTCTTTTGCCAACAAGTTCATATGCTTTTATGTAAAATTTACATGGCACGTTCACATCAGGAGACCATGGCAAAGTGCTTGACACTGCTAGCTGGGCACTCAAACTGGGAGTGGGAGCCAAGGAGGGTGGGGAGGGGAAAGATAGCAACAAAAACTTTATATGGCGCCCCTCATGCAGGGCAGCATTCCAGAGTGCTAGACAGTGGCAGAGCACAACACCGAGCCGGGTGGAGTGGGAGGTGACTGTAGTCATGGCCGAATGGGAAGATTGGGAAGGAAGGGGCAAAGCGGAGTGATAGAGGAAGTGAGAGAGTAGTGAACATATGGAACAGGCTCCCTAGGGAGACCGTGGTAGCCAAAAGTGTTGATTCTTCAAGAACAAGAAATTAGATAGATTTCTTTCAGGATATATCTCGAGATACAATATATAGTTGGGACACAACATGTCATACGCAAAAGTATGATCAAAGAGGTCTTGAGACTTGCCTTCAATGAGGGGATGGAGAAACAAAGGGACTGTGGGATAGAATTCCAGAAAGTGGGGACAGAATGTATAAAAGCCTGCCCACTTGATGGTTGGTTGAATAGGGCGGGTTACATGAAGCAAGCCAGTGTGTATTGGGCGGCAGATTTGGTACGACTGAGAATGAGGATCTTGAACTAGATCAAAGGGGATGGGAAGCCAGTGGAGGCAGGCGTGGATGGGGGTGATAGGCTCGTGGAGCCTGTTGTGTGAGAGAACACAGGCTTCAGAGTTCTGATAGTCTGTAGCTTGTGTAGGGAAGAGAATAGTCCGGCCAGGAGAGTGTTAACGTGTTCAAGCATGGACGTGATAAAAGTGTGGAAGAGGGTCTTGGCAGGCTTAGGGGTGAGTAGTTCCAGAGACGGGTTTCGCAGATGGAAGCAAGCTAAGCCAGTCAGTGAACAGGATGTGGGATTTAAGGTACTGTTGTACCCAACACCTTGGGATGTCCTCCTGACGTGAAATGTGCTATATGGATGTAAATTTGGTGGTGTTGTTTTACTGCTGTTGTTGTTAGGCGCCAAGCATGACAACGATATTCCATACCAGCTCTGCAAGGTGGAACATGCTTCCACGTGAGTTGATGTTGTCAGCATCTGTGGGAAGAAGGCACTAATGGGAGTAAAGCAGGAGAGCCTCTGTCTTGTCGACATTCAACTAGAGAAAGTTAGAGCTCATCCAGGACTTGATGTCTGACAGGCAATTGGTCAGAACAACAGTAGTCCTAGAATCGAGGGTGGAGGCAGAGGATAGAGTGGGGGAGAGAAATAAGGGAAAAACAAAAGCAGGGAGAGAAAAGGAGGATTCGGATATTTGTTTTAGCCCAATTTTCCAAGAGATAGCATGGGGAGGGGAATTCACAGTGAAGACCATCTGTCAGCTCTGATGCTCTGTAGAGGGAACTGGCTTGTTTGATAACATACTGTTTCCTCATTCCTTTCTGATGTTCTTGATTTCTTTTGCAGTATTGTGATACTTTAATGGATTTTAGTGAAATGCTGCAACATAGCCCTCCATCTAGTGGTTCAGTTGAACAGTGACAAAACTCCTTTCTGACATTAGTAATTTATCTGGGAACTATGATTTGCAAATAGATTTGGGACCTGCGCTATCTTTGATTACAGTGATGAATGGATATGCATGCTGAACAATGTGTACGTATTATGGAAAAGAAATCTAACAGACGATCATTTTTATTCACATATAATTTAAACACAGCTATCTCCTGTGGGAAGTGGCTTCCGCACTATAAAAAGTCATATATAATGGTCAACCACTTTCAAACTGACAAATTTATGTTTAGTCTTTCCCTTACCCCTTATCGTTCACCCCCAACACACATGACACACACAAGAAGGAAGCAGAAAAGCCCTCAGTAATGTCCAAAAAATAAATTCAGCCAAGTTTAGTTTGACCTTGAAGTGGAAAAGGAAAATAATACTAACCATTCAGATGGTAAACAAAAGTATGACTGCCCACTGGCTCATTCCTACAGTCAATCAGATGACTGTATCTTTAACGATAAGTTCTTTTGAAAGTTATAATCAACTTCTGATTGAACTGTAAATCTGAACAACCTTAAATTTGAACTAGGAACATTTCCTCCAAATGATCCAAGTTTTTAATGTTCCGTTTTAGATATTTTCTTCTCTTGTTAGTTTGCCTCTTTATTTATTGAAGACATTATAGCTAAGCTGAAAGCATGTTCACAATGGGGTTCTCTTTGAGGGTGTGTGGGTGAGACATGCAACCAAGTGCAAGAGAAACAGCAGCTGATGCTTTGCAGATCAATGTGATATAATCATTACCATTTCTGATTCCCTCAGTTCAGTATTGCTGTCATTTCACTGTAACATCTGATATTTTATTAAAATCTGTGAGGCAAAGGTGCTGACTACAGATTGCGGTGGAACAAACTAAATAAGATTGGCACTCCATATAAGCAAGAATCTTGGCTGTTGTTTGTTTCTGCTAAATCAGTGCAATACTCACTGCAGGTCTGTCACTGCCACGATCGGTTATGGTTTGCATGAAATGATCTTAGTGCAAGCTATTTTATTAATAAAGGTGATAAATGAGGTATTTGCTACAAATACACAATCACCACTTTATATGATTTGGACTTTGAAATAAATCTACATTATAGATACTATATGCATTGTGCCATCATTTGGATGAGATGTTAAACCAAGGTCCTGTGATCCTGTTGAGGTAAATATTAAAGATAATGCACAATTCAAAAACCAAAGGGAGCTTCTCCAGTTGTACTGGCTGACAATTCCTCAAATAAAATTGATCATTCACTTCAAGACTGTTTGTGAGACATTGCTGTGTGCAAATTGGGTACCGTGTTTGCCTATAAAGCACAAAGTAACTATATTTTACAAAGAATTCTGTAAAGCCCTTTGAGAAATCCCTGACATGGAAAGTGCTATGATCATTTATTATTATTATCAAATGCAAGGATTATTATTGAGTGATGTGCTTAGTGTTTATCACTACGAGTATCATTGATAATTAGTGCAAATACCACAATTGTCTCCCTTAGACAATATTGCCATTGTCCATTCCTTCTGTGGTGAAACAAAGTAAAGTTTAGCAAAACATTTTTTGGAAATCTGGAATCAAATATAATCCCATTTTCTTTCACAGACTTTGTAGCTAAACAATTTCAATGTCAAACTGCTATATCATCATTGGGATGAATGCATTATGTATGATTGCTGATTAATTCTAGCAGAATCTTATAAAATCGTCATTTTACTTTGCTGATCAGTTTGCTAATGTGAGCAAGAAGGGCAGTATGTATAGAACAGTATACAAGCACATCACAGTCAAGGTTAAAACTATTTGTGCCAGTTGCCAAGGGATCACTGACAAGGGTTGGATGAAATGGATTTCTGTGGTTTATTTCGCAAGGTAATGACATGTCAAAATGATTTGGTTGTGCGTAGGCTGAGAATGTACTGTTTCTATCGCACAAATGGGAAATTCATATTCTTTCTCATTAGTTTTACCAAATTAATGAGCATGCTTAAGTACTGTACCTTCAGTGGACACAAATTGTGGAGATGTGTATGGGAATTAGACAGGTCTTTAATATCCTAGTTTACATTTTGACAATAATATTACATTTGATGGCTCCCTATCACACTGGAACACCTTAAAATTAAATCCCTCCACCTTGCCCCCTCCTTGCCCATTTTAAGATTGCATCTTAAGAACTTCCTCCTTCACCATATCTAATAATAATCCTTGCATTTGATACAGCGCCTTATCATGTAAATGAGACGTCTCAAAGGATTAGGGTTTGCCAATAATAAATAAGAGTCAATTGGATTGTCAGTTATTCAGTCATGAATTTGGGTGGTGCTATGGGTGACTGCCTCACTTTTCTTACACTTCACTATTATGGTTACCAAAGGATAGTGCACAGAATGGAAGGAATAAGTGATCCCAATGTTTGCACTTCTGGTGGGTTTATGCTGTCCATTTGGGCTTTGTAGGATATGAAAGATTGAGCACTGTAACTGGAACACAACCTAACAAAAGGATGATGATGATATTAAGATAAACATCTGCTGGTCTCATAATTTAACAATGATTAATCAACTGATGTATTTTCAAATGCAAATTCCTTGACGTCTATTGCTGAAACAGAGCCCAGGACAATGCAGTGGATTTTACCTCTCAGATCTGGATGGAAATCTGCCCATGATGGAGCAACATAGCAGCTATCCACTACAATTAAACTAAGTAAGGTAGCATCAGTATCACTATCTCACTGGTGGGGTCCACAATACCACATGTGTCCATAACGTAGACATATTTGCAGCAAGCTAGCGTTCGGATACAGCCATTCGCTTGTCTGAGCGTGTAGTTAAAGTACATTGTCGAGGAATTGGGTACGCACTGGACATGAGATCAATGTGACCAGAAGGTTTGAGGGTTCATTCAGATCATCATCTTTTGAGGCCGATGAAAGTTAACCAGGATTTTTTGGGGGGAGTGGGCTGAATTTGCTCTAATGTGATATGATGGGCAGTAGTCTGAGGCAATTCTGATGCCTCCAGCCTCACAAACCTTTTGAGTGTGAATATAGCAAAATTAAAATGGACTATGAAAAATGCCAGGGTATACAAATGTGTTTCCAATCATGAATAACATTGTATCATTGCTTTCTGAAATCAAAAGTGAATTGTGGAGGCAGGTAACCAACTCATCAATTTATTTATTGGTAAGAAGTTAATTCCTAGTTAGGAGGAATCATTGTATCCTCGATTCAAAATAGAAGTGTTTTTTACCAATCACATTATTCTTATCTTTGAAACATATGTATTTATTCTGTTTTACAGGCAACCCTGACCTAATTAGCAGAGTCAATGTGACCATTCAAGTTTTAGATGTGAATGAATATGCACCTGAATTAGCAGTACCTTATGAGAACCTGATGTGTGAAAATGCCAAGAATGGCCAGGTACAGTATGAATTGTTTTAAAGAGTCCATGAGCAACACATATTTTTGGATAGTTTTCGTTATAAGTACACAGGGAAGAAATCCCATCTGGGTCTGGATTTATTCTATTTTCGTAGCATTCCAGAGCCTCCAGAAATTGGCAATTTTTTAAAATTCAATCTAGATTATCAAGCTGATTTGCTAAATATTATTACATTGAAATATTTGTCTCCGAATACACTGTCATTACACTTGCAGAAAACTCTATGAAGTGATTTGAGATGTGATAAAATGCTATGCCAAATGGAAGGATTATTTATTTATCAATATTTTTATTTTTTCCAAACGGTGGCAAGGTGTTGTCTGAACAGTTTTACCGTTTTATAATTATAAGAAAAATGTTGTTAAGTATTATTAATATCTTATTACTATATTATTATATTGTAGAGTTTGTGGAAAATGTATGTTTCACAGAATAGCCGTCATTCAGTGAGAATGATTGTGAAATGCATAGACTTGCTAGTGCTATGACAGTCTGAATCACAATTATTTAGATAGATATCTTCTAATTCAATTTGTTTCTTCATATTTAACACCTGACTTATACCAAATGCTCCAGCAGTGAATTACAGTCGATAATATGGTATATTTACTTTCTCGTATATCTAACATCATAAATGTACACCTCGGGATGCAGGTTCAATAGCAATAATAATCCTCGCATGGGATACAGTATCTTATCACGTCACTAACACTTCTCAAGCCACTTCATAGAAAATACTGTAGAGTGTAGTGACTCTGTATTTTGCAGGCAAATGCATCAGCCACAGTTGCCTGAAAAAGTTTTTCTAGTTGAGATAGATATCCTTGTTTCATAGATTACAGACATTGCACACAGCAATGCTGTGCAAACAGCCATGAAGTGATTGATGAATTTTATTTAAGGAATTTGTTGGGCATTACACGGGAGAAATTCCCTTCTCTTTACAAATAATGCCATGGGATCTTTAACAATCCCCTTGGACAGGCAGATGGGACCTCAGTTTAACATCTCAACAACAACAACAGCAACTTGCATTTATATAGCACCCTTCACAAGGGGTGATGTCCCAGAGTGCTTCACAGTGGCGGAGTCTGACAACAATCTCATTCAAATGATGAATGAGATCATTAGTTAAAAGACCAGACTGGGGCTTAAAGTGCTTTATTCACAAACTGGAAGTCACTGCATCAATCATGACTTTGGGTTGGGATCGAAGTGACGTGATTCACAACTAAATTTGCTGAAGAATTCACCCAAAAATTACAAAGGGCTATGCTTAGATGCTCCAATATATTAGCTTATCTGTGACTGAATGGGCCGAAGAACCTTTTTCATCCAGACCAATCATCCAGAAAGACTCCGTCTAAATGCAACTTGGTGTTTGGTTGTTTTGTAGAAGCTTAGTCTGCAAGAAAAACACCAGCCGGGATCATGATTTCCCTTTGCAAACACCACATTTTAGCCTCTGCAAAAAAAGCTAATGAAAGCTAATCGCCCACAAGAATATACAGTCAATTCACTTTACAGTATATTCTGTGAAGCGCTTTGCGAAATCTCAAAGACGTGATAAGGCCCCATATTAAATTAAATTATATCATTATAATGAAAGTTTTGTATAAATCTTGTAGCTCTTGTAAATCTTGTAAATCTTGTGGAGTCCTGTAGCTCAGTGGTTAGAGCACTCGCTTTGCAAGCAAGAGACCTGAGTTCAATTCCAGGCAGGGCGAAACCTTGGGCAAGTTTCCTTACTCCATACGCCTAATAATAATCCCTCCAAAACAAAACAATAATAAATCGGTCATTTTCAATCTACGACTGTTGGTGGGACATTGCTGTGCGCAATTGGCTGCCGCGTTCGCCCACAAATATACAGTCAATTCACTTTACAGTGTGTTCTGTGAAGCGCTTTGGGATGTCCTCCCGACGTGAAAAGCGCTATATCAAATGCAAGGATTATTATTATTATTTGCCTCGCAAACAAGAGACCTGGGTTTCATTCCTGGCAGAGCAAAACGTTGGACAAGTTTCTTTACTCCACACATCTCTGTTAACCTAAAAGTAAGTAGGAACCCAGTTGTTAGTCGATTGGTGGCTCGCTTTTCCGGGGGAAATAATTCCTTCAAAAAACATAATGAATTGGTCACTCAATCTATGATTGTTTGTGGGACACTTCTGTGCGCAATTGGCTGCTGCGTTTTGCCCACAAAATAATTCACTTTGCAGTATATTCTGTGAATTGCTTTGAGACGTCTTGAAGACGTGATATGGAACTATATAAAATGCAAGAATTATTATTCTTATATATATAAAACGTTGAGTTGCATTATAAATCCTATCAATAGATGGTGCTCCAGGCTGATAAATGCACAGGGTTTGGAGCTGGGTCACACCACACACAATAATATAATTCCTTTGAGACTAAATTTGATATGAGAAGTATGTTGGCTGGGGGAACTTGGATATTCTTGGTCAATATACAAAAACAAATCTTTTGCCTGCCTAAGGTGTGAGAGATGTATGTTCATTCTTTAATTATATGACCCAATGGTGGGTTTACAAAACTTGTTGGCTTTGTCACTCAAACTGGATTCAGCTGTTTATTTGCAAATCAGTCTTTAATGTCACTCAAATCTTTACAGCCAACAAGTAACATTATTTTTCAGAAATTGGTCGGTGAATCAGTGCCCAGAGTGCAACAATTCAAGATGACTTACAAAGGGAGAGATTAGTAAGATTATTGTTCTGTAGTGAGTGGTTAGGATGTGTAATGCCCTGCTGGGTGCAGTGGTCAAGGCAGTATTGATAGTAGCTTTCAAAAGAAAACGAGATATCTGAAAAAGAATACTTTCCGGGGGTTTGAGGGAAAAGACAGGTAAATGGGACTAAATGGAGTATGCTTTCAAAGAGCCAACGCAAACACGATGGGCCAAATGGATTCTCCAGTTCTGTACATTTCTATAGTTGTAAATATTTTAAAAAGATTAAGTAGAAGACACCATAGGTTGTGAGTGTTATACTTTTCTCTGATGCTATATTAAACTTTAAATCATACCCACTCCTCTGTCTGCCCTTAGCTCAGCAAACACAGGACTGCTAATATGTCTCCGACCTCCAGACCCTTCAACACCACCGTCGGTGGCCATGGCTTCATCAATAACACCCTTAAACTCTCGAACTCGCTGCTTCAATCCCTCCACCTCACCTCCTCTTAACCTTTATCTTTATATCCCACCATTAGACCTACCTCTTCGACCGCACTTATGGTTATTTCCACTCATCATTCTCCCTTTCTTGTGGCCAACTCTGCCACTGTGTGAAGAGCACTGTATAAACCCAAGTTGTTGTTGAATATCATGTTGTTTTCATGTGGACTCGTGATCAAGGACAAAAGGATCTAATTAGCTGATAATCCTCTTTCCTGTGAGTTTCACAGTGACAAATGGCCTACTTAGTTCCTCGCTGTACAGTTTGTAAACCTGCTGTAAAGCGTTGAAACAGTGCAGGGAGGGGTTGTCAATCATTAAGTCACACCTGATATTTATATTATATTTCCAGCTGTAGCTACCTTTTATGTTAGAAAGAGATAGAAGTAAATAGCCAGTCTCCAATAATGCATGTTCATGCTTCTGACACTGTTAGAGAGAAATGGTCTGCATTTTGGGGAGGGGCGGAGGGAGAGAGGGCTGTGATGGCAAAAGGGAGAGTTGGTCATGCAAGAATGTATGTCGTATAATAATCCTCGTATTTGATACAGCGCCTTATCACGTCATTGAAATGTCTCAAGTTTATCAAGATAGCGAGGACAAGTTGAATAAAGATTATTGTAGAAAGCTTAGTTTAAGGTACATAGTGAGGACTTACACCTCAGATTTTCTCATCTGGAAAATTACGTTCTAAAATTCCAATGTGTGGGGTATTCATTGCAAGTACTGGGATTTGAATACAGCAGTGCCCTCTTGTGGGTATTGTTGACATCATTACATTTGCAATACAATACAATAGAAATTTCCATTTATACAGTATGTGAGTACAGGGCAATGTTGGTGGTTTTCTAATCAACCACAACAAATTACACTTGTATAGCCCCCTTCATATTGGAAAGACATCCCAGGGTGCTGGACAGTCAGGAATTTTTGGACATCAGACAGCATCTGGTACACTTTTGACAGGTTTTAATCAGCTCTCAGCTGTTATCCAGGTCTGTACCTTATGAAACAAGGATATCTAACTGGAAATACCTTTTCAGTCAGCTGGTTCTTGGGGCAGGTTTAATGCTGGTGTCTAAGATGTGATCTGTGAATTGAGACTGTGCTGCATTTGTATTCTGCATGAAGGGCAGGCAGAAATAAGAGTTACATGGAATGGAAAAAAACATTCAGCTTAACATGTAAATTCTAGTGTTTGTACACAGTTCCCCACTCTTCTGTTTCCCTCTATTCCCTTCTCTGTCTTTCAGGCATCAATTTTTTTCTTAAATATGTTGATGTCATTTGCTTCAACCACAGGTTCCAGCTGTGAGTTCCACATCGGAGGAGTGAATGTACAGAATTGCTTTTGCTCTGTTGCTCTTTTTTTTTCCTGCTCATTGAGAGAATCTGTATAGCATTATGAATTATTGGTAATGTTTTGATTCTTGCCCACATAGAACTTTGTGACTCACACTACCCTCTTTCAACTAAAAGAAGAGCAGGTAGAAGCAGCAGGCAAAAATCTACCAACAAATTTCCATACAGAAAAAGCCTTTAGGTAACATTGTAGACAAATTGTTCACTTTCCTATCTGAATTCCTTTCATCCACTATTGTCTACGGAAATGTGCAACAAATAGCAGGAGATGCTTCTTGCAAAACAGGCTCTTTTTCTCCCTCACCCCTGAGAATAGTATGGTTCACCATCACAAGACACTCTGCCTGAACCCATCATTAGACAAGTATGTTGAACACTCAAGGTCAGAATTGAAACCCCAAGTCCCTAGGTAG